CTTTATTTTGGAAACATGCTTTTCATAATATATTTATATAGCTGATAACTTCATCAACAAAGAGCCATATGAATATATTATGAAAAGCAAGTTTCCAAAATAAAAAATCAGATGCTATTGGAGATTTATGTGAAGGTTTGTGCTTCTCCATTGTGATAACTTGGTAAGACTGTTCCTCAAGCCTTTTCAAAAGACCAAATCCAAGATTACAATAAATTTATCAATTAAAAATTGCAGGTAATGAACAAGGAAGACTTACTGCAGCTTCAATATTTGCAGGTGATTCATCATTTGGGCTCGATAACATGGAAATTATGCTCAAAACTATGCTTTCAACCTGCGCAATTAAATTGATTTGGACTATTACTACTCGAATATATGCTTCCAAGAATGAAGAGCAAAGATCCAGATTGAGGCAACAAAAAACTAAATTAAATGGCCATCAAGATCAGAATGCAAATGAGGAAAAAAGCAGAAAAGAGTGAGGCACAACTTTGAAATTGAAAACATTTTACATAACCCATGATGTGGCATTTCCCAAATTCAAGTATTTATTGTTACATTTGAAATGCAAATAGTTACGCCAGCAGTTCGCACCTAAGACTTCCATTCATCTAGGGTGAAGCTTATCCATAATCTTGGAAATAGAGCAACAGGGAGAACATCAGCTCTATAGCTTGTTCAAAGAAAGGAGCCACCTAATCTAAAGGTACATGGTGTGAAGCAAGTCAATCAACTCATATTCTAGAAAATATGGATCAAGGGAATTCTAATGCGTAATGCACAGCAAGGATCATACACGATATTTTATTACAATAGATATTTAAAAGATTTTATCACCTTCTAAGGGAGAATAAATAGGAATCTGAATTTTGAATTCCTCTCCATGACTCTCTCCCTCTAGTTTTCTAAAATATCTCTCAGATGATAAGTAAATCTCTCTAATTAGTGTTAAGTGGGACTCCCCTATCAAGTCCTTATCATGGCATACACGGGTAGGGGCTCGTCATCCCCACTGACTAACCCCCCAAAACAAAAAAAAAAGTCCTTATCATGGCATACATGAGTTAAAAATATAATGAAATAAAATAAAAAATGGAAAATAGGATAACTTATGTAAAACTACAACTTAGTTACAGCATGCATTTAGTTAAGTTATAGTTAAGATCTTAAAATGAACAAAGTTCCAAACACAAGAAGAGGTTCCATGCACAAAGATTAGAAACTAGCTGGTCAATAAACAAACAATCTTCTAAGAAAAAACCATCTGCCATGCAGAAATAAATTTGTTGTTTATATAGGCAATATATGTACATGATATTGTTTTCTTATGACAACAAAAGTCGGATGCCGATATTGACTTTCCTACTCCAGGAATAGGTTGCATACCCAAGTAGGTTTTCCGTTGGTGGGGGTGGGGGGTGGGGTTTGTTTTCTGGGTTGTGTGTGTGGGTATGGATGTGGGTGCACGTACTTTATTTTTTTTGGGGTGGGTTGGGGGGTAGGAGTGTTATTGGGTGGGATTTTGTTCATACACAAGAAGAGGTTCCATGCACAAAGAATAAACAAACAATCTTCTAAGAAAAAGTCATCTGCCTTGCAGAAACAAAAGGACACTGTCAATACTATAAATTTGTTGTTTATTATTAGGTCAAGGTTACTTAGAGAGCCTCAATTGAGAGGGGGAGAAAGATGCCCTTCCATACTCCCCCCATTAATCAAAAGAATCCACCTTTTGTGCTTTTATTCGTTTTCTTATGTTTATTTTGGACATAGGCAATATATGTACTTGATATTGTTTTCTTAGGAGAACAAAAGTTGGATCCCGATGTTGACTTTCGTATTTCCATGAATAACATGCATAACCACTGCACAATTAGGTTTTCTGTGGTGGGGTGTTGGGGAGGGGGGGTGGGTAGGAGTGCTATTGGGTGTGATGTTGTTCATACACAAGAAGAGGTTACATACAAAAAGATTAGAAACTAACTAGTCAATAAACAAACAATCTTCTAAGAAAAGTCATCTGCCTCACAGAAATAAAAGGACACTGTCAACACTATAAATTTGTTGTTTATTATTAGTTTAAGGTCAATTAGAGAGCCTCAACTGAGAGGGAGAGAGAGACCCTTCCATACTCCATCCATTGATAAAAAGAATCCAACTTTTGTGCCTTTATTCTTTTTCTTATGTTTATTTTGGACATAGGCAATATACGTACATGATATTGTTTTCTTATGATAACAAAAGTTGGATCCCAATAGTGACTTTCCTATTCAACGAATAGGTTGCATACCCACTGCACAAGTAGGTTTTCCTGTGGGTGGGTGGGTGGGAGGGAGTGGGTGTGAAAATCTTTCTTCCACTCTCAAGGTCCTAATTCAATTTGGATATTTTAGCAATGAGAATGGAATAGAAAGACAAGTGAATATTTCCAATTGGGAGAGACATCAAAAAGTGAACATGTGTATTCCATGATCCAAAGAGGTTTGGATTCTTTTGATCAAATCTCTTTTCAAATTGTGAAATCTCAGCTTACAATTTGCCTGTGAAAATTTCCTTGTGGTGAACGACTTAAAAGAAATTCCATATTTGAACTTTGCAATTTTGCCAATTTTCATTAATAAAACAGTTATTTCTGGTTTTATCTTCACTATTTGAAGCATATTTATCAAAAGCGAACCGAACCGTTGGTCCGACCAATCAAACTATCGACTGGTGCCTTATCCGCTATAATCTAAGGTAAAACCCAAATTTGGTCGAAAACCAATCAAAACCAATATTTGACTGGTTCTGGCCAGTAGAACCAACCAGATTTAACCAATTCCACCAACTACATGAAGGTGGGTAACTTTTTTAATGCATTATATTTTTAAACTATTATGTCTATTTTATTGTTCAAGTGGAAGGCTCAAAAAGAGCAAAGGATAGGCCCAAGAGGACATGGTTGGAAGTAGTGAGAAAAGACTTGTAGCCCTTGATAGAGCATAATGACGGACCACGATTCGTATAACCGACCCCAAATAGTTGGGAAACGGTTCTAATGACAATGATGATGACATGTCTATTTTATTGTCCTCCTTCAAAAAAATCCAATCCAAACAATTTGACCCGTATTTGGAACGGTTTTGATTGGACCAAACCCCTTACCAATTCAATGACCAGTCCGATCTTGATAACAATAATTTCAAGTATTGGCAATTTATGCATACAGCCCCCACTTCTTTTGCATCCACAGACCACATCATGGCATTGGGTTTTCCTATCTTGGTGAATGGGTTGCAACCTGTAATGCAAGGCTTGCATTCCATTGCTTCAAATACGATGCCCCCCAAGTTCAATCCAAAACATATCATATGGTCCAAGTTATTGTCAATGTTGACAACCAAATATATGCCTCCATGATGAAATAGATAAAACATATCCCAATTGTGTAGGTAGAAAAATCAAGATATTTACCATTCAAGAGTTGATGAGATTCGCCATCCAACTAGCTCATAAGTTCAATGTCTTGTGTCTCATTGGCCGTGACATGCCAGTCCATAACAAACTTGGTCTTCCCATCCTCACTCCTACCCATTACATCTAAAACGGTCACCATGTCATGCATGTTATATCCTAACGCTTACTTTTTTTATATTTTGTGGATTTTACTTTGTTCTTTTTGCTTTGTTTTCCTTTGTACACCTCTCATTGTACATTTTTACACTTTAATGAATTTGTGTTAACAATCAAAAAAGAAAATGTTTTGTCTTACACATGAGATTCCTCCCATCCTATCACATAAGCAGACCACAATCTTAAACCACATGAAATTACACAAGATATATAAGAACATTTCTCCTGGGGTCGAGGATCCCATATTAGTATTTTGAGAACCATGAACCCACTTTTAGGAAGTTCGGTTCCTAAATCCTAATTTAGAACGGAATCATGAAAATGGTTCCATTCAATGTGTACACAGTGTAGATTGCATGACAGATTGAAATATTAAAAATTCCTTGTAGGGTGCTGAATCCAATGAAAAAAAGGTTCCCATGTATAGAAACTTATTGGGTATTTTAAGTTTAACTTCAGTTAGCCATTTATCTTACTCCAACTCAAAAGGTTCTAAAACCAAAGGCAGATGCATATACACTTACAAATAAGGCAACCATGGTAAATAAACTGTATTTTTTATTTGTATCAGTTATATAATTCTAATAATTTACTTCACGACAGTAGAAGTAATTTAGCAAAAGCACAATCTTGTGTTCTAGTACGTAACTCCTCGCTAAAGCATCAATGCCTTCTATGTGCTATCTTATTAGCACATTTTATTTACCCAAACAAACCCCTTCTATGTTAAAAATATAGTCATTATGAAAGCAGAGTTCTAAAAAACACAATAATTTACTCTCATAAAACAAGTTCTCATAAATATGCATATAGGACTACATATATAGATGACAATATTTTTTTTTTTTATATAGTAAAATTGAAATTTTGCTACATGATAGTAATTAACAATTTGCTACATGATAGTAATTGACAATTTGCTACAAGATAGTAATTGACAATTTGCTACATGATAGTAATTGAAAAAAATATGAAAAATAT